CCTGTCTTCTGAGCCTTTATGCTAAGCTAACTAACCAGCTGTTGACTGCGGTGTTACAACACATCTGTATTATATTATGTTAAATACAGTGTATAGCAACTAAAAACCAAAAACTCTGTATTTTTAACATTTTGCACCAATTTAATGTGTTACAGGAAGTCATTTACATTTGCATATAACAACACAGTCTTAAGACTAACAGTAGGTTATTGGTATTATTTCCAGATCGTATTCATTGTGCACTCAGACAGAAAACACCCAGTTTAAAGTCTTCTTCATCTGTGAATACACCAATTTAAATATTTCTATGAGATTATTATTCTTAGATTTTGTTCTAGAAAAATAAACAACCACCTTGATACCCCAAAACGAGACGTTAAGTAACTTTGAGCTGGATTCCAACAGCTCTGAAACAGAATATAATACTTCAAGACATTTTTCAGCAGCTTGGATCATATCTTCACTTTGGGCAGATGTTATCACCATGAAGCTGAGAAGGGTTTTTTTGAGCCACACTTTAAATCAACAGCTACTTCTCCTCCTCTGCTTCTGATGAGATGCCTACAAACAGGGCCGAGGCCTGCTGACCCACAGGGTTGTAGAGAAAGGCTTCGATCTCTCCGCCGCCGTTGCCGTTTTTCTGGAAGTAGATTTCCAGCAGGTCCTGCAAAGTTTCCTGCTCCATGACGGCAGGTATTCCCGTCAGCAGCACCGTGCGAGGACACGCTGTCGTCGTGGTCTGACAGGGAAACACCACAGTCGAAAGTATTTTAAAAATCAATAGGAAGATCACAGCGCTTCATCATATGAGAGTGGACAACATTTTTTTTCTCCTCCTGACACGCATGCTTACCTCCAAGTTAGTGATCTTTCCATTCAGAAAAGGAGTCACTCTCACTTTGTGCTTCGTCGTTTGTAGCTTCACTTCATGATACTCGGTGTCTATTAGACCTTCGGCAACTGACAGGACAAAGAGTTTATCAGCTGGGGTTCAAAATATTAGAGAATTTACAGCAGCCTTTCACACGTACAACCTACAACACCATGTTACACAAAACATTGCAGCAGATTTTATCTTTAAGATGATTTCCAGTCTACAGTATTGTTTCAAAGATGCTCCAGATGCTCACTGCCTTTGTTCACAAACGTGACCACCACGTTCCCAGAGTCAGGCAGCATTTCGCAGTCCTCCACCTCCCCGCCTCCGTGTCTGCTCTTCGAGAAGTAGATCTCCAGCTTGCTCAGCAGCATGTCGGTGTCGCCCTTGGGCAGGTTGGAGATCAAAATGCGGCGAGGGCAGACGTCGGTGTCGATCTGCGGGAACACAAACGGATCACTTAAATGAAGCTAAATGCTGCACTTACAGGCTCAATATGGCTCATTTGTTCTGGTTGTTTTACCTCCACCAGCTGTGGCAGCATCAGATGAACTGGTGTGGCCTCCACAGTGATGCTGCAATCTCCTCCCAGATCCACCTTATGCTCCTTCAAGGCCAGAATCTTCTTTGCAACTAGTGACGAGGAAATCATTCAGGATGTTACATGTGAAAACACAGCAGAGAATCGAGTCGTGTCTGCTATTTCAAGCCACAGAGACTGAGTGCTTCAGCTGCTTAGTAGTGACTTGATTGTTGGTAATTAAAAATGGAATCTGCGCCACAAACATTCAGCTGAAATAAAGAGGGTGCATCAGGAGGTTTAGTCTATCAGACAGAAGTGGTTCAGCCTGATATTTCATTCAGCATCAGGAGTGATTCTTTCTAATCTTTCACCAACAGTGAATACAAATCTGATGTTGTTCAGTCACTTGTTCTGATTTCTGCCCTCTTATCTGGTCAAAAAAACCCAACTCAGATTAAGGTTTTTTAGTACTCTGTCAAGTCCCTGTTGAAGCAAACATGAGAGAGAACAGCTGTGGAGATCATCCTACAGAGAATTTGCAACAGAAAATAAAAAAGCAAAGTAAGAGCACTGAGGTCTGCATTATAAAAAAACATCAAGAGACTGAGAAAAGCTGTGCAGCACGTGCTAATGATCAGTTCACACAGCAATAAATAACTTTGCTGAACCACAAACTGCTGCTTCCCTTCGACCTGACAGAGCTGAGTGAATGTTTCAGTACAGTTTTAGACATTCATGTTTGATTTATGCAGAAACCTCCCAGATCACCTGCTGACATGTTTCGAATGTCCTTAAAATCCCTTCTTGTTCTAGTTGAACTTTGTTACCGTAACGGATACAGATATTACAGTGGGTCAGTCTGACCTGAGGGAGGAAGCCAGCAGACAGGATGAAAGTCTAGATTCACAGATGTTTTATTCCCTCAATGTGCAGAACATTAGAACAGTCACAGACACAAACGCTGATCTGCTTCTGTCTGAGTGACTGGAATCCTCCACAAAAAACATGTTTGAGACGGTTAAAGTCCGTCAGAACTGATGAATTAAGATGCTAAAGTCTGTTTATAAAGACTGATTGATTCTGGGAAACTTGGTTTATCTGCATGAGACGACAAATCTGCTCTCTCTTCTTATCATTTCCTTTAAGACTGTAGTTTATTATTAGACAAATAAAACTAAAATGAAGACATCTGCAAATCAACAGAAGCTCCTTTGTGCCCCCCAGTGGCTGAATAAATCCTGCAAGTAAAGCTCCAGTTTTACAGGATCAGTTTAAGCAACAAACTGAGATTTTAATTAAAACAGCATCTCTGTCTTGTAATTGTACAATTTAAATTCTGCTTTGAACATAAGAAATAATCTACTAATATATTTTTTTAAATCCTTTTTTGGCAAAAATACTGACAATTCAATATAAGATTCACTTTCAAAGCCCTCGTCAACATATATTAAATGATTTAAATCCTAATTCTGCACCAAAAATCTTTTTAAAACTGTTTTTTTCCCACAGTCCTGCTTTATTGTGAAAGAGGTTTTACTGTTTCAGCTTCAAGTAAAAAAATAGAAATAAGAAAAAACTTTATTGATCCCGAAGGAAACTCTTGGACCAGATATTGCTCAGAAAAAAACAAAATGACCTGAGAATGAATGCAGCAGAGAGTAGAAAAACAATGAGATTTAAGTGTGAAACACTTCTGAAATAAATGAAGTAAAATAAAATAAGACTAGAAAAGTGAAACGGTAGTGGTGGCAATCACACTGAGGTCACAGGTAAAGTCACACATGATCATGAAATATTGCACATTAAGTAAAGGTTATTTTTATTATTACTTTTATTCTGAAATTCTTGCTGTATTTTATACTTTATGTGTAATTCTGGTTTTGAAAGCTGCTGCAGAAATAAACATCTAACCACCGATTAAAACACGACGCACTGCTGGCAGCTGCTGATTAAACTGATTAGTGTTCGAGAACAAACTCACCGACTTCCTCCTCGAACGTCACCAGCGCCGTGCCGCCCTCCATCGGGTAGACTATGCGCGGGTTCATTTGAAACATCTCCGTGTCGTCTGCACTTCCTGTCAAACCGGTGAAGACGAGCTTCTTCTCCGGCACGGCGGTGAACACCTGAAACCGACAGGTACAGTTGAGTCACGGTGGTCTGGCTGCAGACGAGAGGTAACTGTGAGCTGCTGGACGTACGTCCGTCTGCTGCTGCAGTTGTTTGTTTTCAGCCTTCTGCTCCTTCAGTGCAGCCTCCACCCTCCGGATCTCCTCCATCAGCTCGTTCTCATCCTCCTTCAGCTGATTCAGCTTCGCCTGGACCACGAGTTCACACAGCAACAGAGCAAAAAACTGAATATTACATCTACTCAATGGCACCTACATTCAAAATGCATTTCATTTTATACATTCTTTATTATGATTTATTTCTGAAGGGTTTACAATATAAAGCCCCAATTTTAATGGTGGTAGAATTAGTTTTACATTTGTTTCATTTATTCATTACCTCGGTGCTACATAAATTCAGTTTTATTAAGTCAGGTTTCTTCTGTTAATCACTGTGGAGATACACTTCAAGCTTGACTGTGTTTTTAATTATGTGGTTGACAGCAGCCTTAAGTGAAACCTGCAAACAGCCGAGTAGATGTGCGTAATACTGCACAGTGAGGCTTAAACGTCAGAGCGTCTGAGAGACCAACACCTGTTCTTTGGCGAGCTGGTCCTTGTGGGAACGCTGGTCGTCCTTTAGGTCTTGGTTCAGTTTCATGGTGCGCTGATTGAACTGCTTCGTCAGATTCCGCCGGTCGTCTCTGGAGGTAGCGAGGTCCTTCTGCTCCTCCAGCAGCTGGTTGTACTGCTTCTGTGGATGCACAAGAAGAGCTGCGTTCAAAACTCCAATCAGTGTCGATCAATTAATCAATTTATAAAGCGTCCATCCCAGATTAAATGTCTCGTTTTGCCTGACCAGCAGCCTCGAGCTCAGAAATATGCACTTTTACAACTGCAGAAGAAATATTCTGGTGCTTTCTGATAAAAACAACTGATAACTAATAATTCTGCTAATCAACGCATTGATTACCTCCAATAATCATCTTGCTGTCTTGTGCATTAGCTTAAAACACATTTCCAGAAACTGATCCTTATTCATCCCATATTTTAGAACTTTGAAATCTCCAGTTAAAGATCACAAAGATAATTAACTTTCTCTTCATGTTTCCCTCTGAACTACTTTAAACTGAATTTCTGGTTGTATTTTTTTTTGTTGCAAAAATGGTAATAATGTTGAGATTTAAAATATATATATATATATATATATATATGTATTTTTTTACAAATAGAAGTTTGTTGTTCTTCTTTTCAACAACAAAAAAGTTTTTAAAGTCACAATATTGCACCATTTGTTATATAACTATTTTACATTTATGTGTTTTCAGCATGTATGAGTGCCTTTCATATGATGTACATGGATGCGTTTGTGTGTTCTCTAATAAATGATGAGCTTCTGGGAACCTTGCAGCTGCTGATTGAGGCCATGATTCCCTCCAGTGTGTCCTCAGACGGCGGTGTGGTGGTAATCAGAGAGAAATCCTAAAAACAAGAGAAACAGAAACAGAAACATCACAACACGGACATCTTGACAAGAATATAAGAGAAAAACATCCAATCTTCTAAGGGAAAGCAGCAGTATAGATATTATAGATATATGCGGATGGTGAGAAAAACCTAGCAGGAATGTTTCAGCAGAAACAACAACATGAGAAAAACAAACGATGTTGTTCTCACCTCGTCTGAAGACATAGTGACAGTAACCTGTAAAAATTCACAAAATAATACACATTTGGCTCATTGTCACTCAAAATGAGTCTATTAAATACATTTACTAATGAAGGACAATGTGGGTATCAAAAAGGAAAAACGCAGGTGAACTAAACTTCAGAGCAGTAAACCTCCTGTAGGCCTGTTGTTGACACATAAACACCTCATTAAAGTCTTGACATAACTTTTTTAATAAGTGACGTTCTGCTGTAGACTAACATGAAAACTTTAACAAACAATCTGCATTATATTAAGACGATTTGTTTGGTTTAAACTTCTGATTAAAAAAACGGTGAACTCACCTCCTCTCGACGATCTGAACTGTAAAATCACGTTTGTTCTTTCAGTTTCTTTTTCTCTGCAACAGGAAGCCAGAATGTAGTGCTGCGTTCATGAGCGGCAGGGAATATGGAAATTTACATGACTACAAGCACGAAGGGCCGCAGTAGGGAGGGAAATAACTCTGGATTTTATTTTATTTAACTTCACAACTGTTATAGTTCGTTCTCATCTGATCTTCTGTTGGTGTGATTTTGTTTTCTTTTAACTATGTACATTTTTCATGATTTTTGTCTTTTCTTTCATTCTTAATGATGTTTATAGTCTTTTAAATAGTTTTTCCTTTCTATTAAGCCTTTTTTTGGAGGTGTTGTTTTTAAAATTTCCCAGTGTTTCCTTTTGTTCTGTAAGGCGTTTTGTGTTACATAAAGTTTTTATGAAGTCCTGAGAAATCCACTGGACCTGAAATGCTACACAACAGCTTGTAGTTTATTATTAGCATTGCACTGCACATGCCCATTTTCCAGGTGCTAGCTGGTTGCTGGTGCTGGCTCCAGTGCTTAGTTGGTTCAAATCTGGCACCTTGAAGAACCTGTTTGCTTTTCCATCGACAAGGAGCCAAGTTAGAGCCACGCCATACGTCACTGCATACGTAACCGTTTACTGAACAACGCTCGCGCCTGACGGAAGTCCACACAGGACTTTTTTTAAATAATTTTTTAAAATAATTTTTTGTTTACCTGTGCGACCAAGTTTCTCATTAGGTTCTCACCTTGTCACAGGAAAAAACATATGACTTGCTGAACATTTTCTTATCGATAGACTCTACAATGTACCGATGTTCCCTGAACGCCCCACGTAGTAGGCCGCGGTAGCGGCTGTTGGTGGCTGCGGTGCTCAGACCGGTGTGCGACCAGAGATGACTTTAAGAAAAATAAACCAGGGAGTTCTAATGTCAGATTTGTCTGAGATGAAACTGAGTGATTTTTTTTCTTATTTTCGTTTCTATGAGCGGAATAAACAGCGCATGTGCAGTGGTCTTTATTCATACCCTTCTTTTAAGGAAAAGGAAAAATTCACCATAGTCACTGAAATAACTAGAAACTAAAAAAAAGTAATAATAAATTTAAAAAAAAAAAAAGCTAAATTATAATTTAGTGAAAATAAGACATTGTTTATGAATTGTGGTAGAAAAGAATATTTTATTTATTTATTTTTTTAAACTCTCCCTGTCAAATTAGAGCACTTTGCTGATGAGCAGTGGGCCAAAATCAATGTAATCGGTGCTTTTCTCTGGACCAGCAAAGAGTCGGTGTCTGAAAAGAAGCAGCTTTGAGAACCTGGAGCCGGTGGTGAGGTGGTGGAAACACAAAGAACTAGTGCTGAGTCAAGCTCTGGCTCTGAACCAGATCGGTTGGAAGGGTATCTTTGGTTCTATCTTCTTTTTCTAAACAACATTTAATTGTGTATAACTTCTATTGATACTGCTTGTGTTGATTTAAATAAAGCAACTGCTGTAACTGCATTCACCCTTTAAATGATTAAAGTTACTCTAAAACACAGCAGTTATTGCCATGATTTTTTTTTTAAATTCATACTACACTGTAGAGGGAAATATATTTATCACAGCTCAGTAACAGGCTTTTTTTTTTTTTGCTTGTCTTGTGTCACATTTTTCTCATTAAGTCAAAGCTAACAGCTACAGCAGCTTATTTGAAACTTAATTTTTAATAAATAGCATGTTAGTAATCTTCTTTGTTTATATTTGAATATGACACTAATAATGGAAAATATCAGCAGGCTGTTTGTGCTGGACTGCTGCCTGTGGTTAGGATGCAGATGACCATCATTACAGATCAGTCATGTTTATTGACATATGCTCAAGCCTTATAGAGGTGCCAGCTTAAAAAATAGACTTAAATTGTTTAAAAGTTCTGATACATACAATAGAATCTAAAACTTCTGTTGGGACAAATTTGCTCCGTGCACTTTTCTATAAATATCACCGTTATATAAACTCACTAAACTGTGGCAGAAAACACAATCAGATGCTTCCTTGAAGAGCAACATGCATGTTTGTAACCTCAATGAATTCATGTGTACAACTAAGGAAGAAATATTTAGAAAGAGCACATCCCCCTTATGTGACACAATCGGACATGTTTAAATTAAAGTTTCGATAGCAAAATGCTAATCTGAATTTATGCCTTTATAAACAAAATTAAGCTTTAACATTTCAAACTATAATTTCCAAGAAACATTTTGTAATAAATTGGCAAAAAGGCAACCTTGCAAGTTGCTCCTTAAATTAAAGCAGCAATTCTACTGTCTAAGACAAAACAAATCAGATTAGATTATGGATGCATTTATTATGGTCTGAAAGTGCAATTCTTTCCCCCTGTAGCTGCCTAAAGTGGAACAAATTTTAACTTGAGCAGCAGAGTTTATGGCCAGAATGATCATATTTTGTGCACAAACTGATAATCTGAAATAAATGAGTGTCTGCAGCTGTCAAAAAGTATAACTAGAGTAGCAGTAGAGTAAAAAGTTGAACATAAAGAGTCCTTCAGATAAACTTGTAACCAGTTTTAATTTAACTGCAGTTTATAAACTAGTATGAAAGACACTAACTAAATGATATCTGTAGAACATTAACCACAACGTTGTATCACCTTTTGAAAGCATTCGGTCAATATTTCAACAAATTATTCAGCTCAACAACCTCAGATTTTCCAGAATGTAACCCATAAACAAATCTCACCTCAACAAAACACTTTCAACCCATCATCAAAATCCATCCATCCACTATATATACACCTTAATCCTCATTAGGGTCGTGGGGGGACTGGAGTCTATCCCAGCTGACTCAGGGTGAAGGCAGGGGACACCCTGGACAGGTCACCAGTCTATCACAGAGCCACACTCACATTCACACCTACGGACAATTTAGAATCACCAATTAACCTCAACATGTTTTTGGTCTGTGTAGGAGGAAGCCAGAGAACCCAGAGAGAACCCACACTGCACGGGGAGAACATGTAAACTCTACACAGAAAGATCCTGGGTGTCCCCGCTGGGACGCAAACTGGCAACCTTCTTGCTGCGAGGCAACGATGCCAACCACCGACCCACCTTGCAGCTATTATCAAAATGAAACAGATAATGTCAAAAACAAAAACAAAAAAAAAGAAGGGGTCGAGAGTCAAAATCCATTTTTTAAACATTTTTAATGAAACCAAATGAATTTAGAATCTGAGCTTCTGGAAGAACCACTTGTTTTTGCCAGTCTTGTACCTGGAAACAGAACAAACAGGAATTCAGCACATTTTTGACAGATAACAGATAACGTTTAAGACAAAACAAAATCCAGGACACTCACCTCTCCTCAAACTTGATCTTGGCCTCCCGCCTGGCTTTGCGCTTGAGAGCAGGATCCCTGAAGACGTCCTTGTTGACAACAGTTTTGTCCAGAGGAATGTCCACAGAGTATCTGAAGGAGAAGAAGCGCAGCCATGAAAACATGTCCAACATCTGTTTCAAACTCAAAGCAACTCACAGCAGATTCTTCAAGTGTTTCACATGATAAACATGTTTAAGTCTGATGCTGATGTTCGCTTTTATTGGCATCATACAAAGAAATTGCATCACGTTACAAAGCTTCTGTGCAGCTGATCGAGAGCCATGTAGCTCCTACAAGCACTCCTCCTCAGTCTCCCTTAATGGACCGAACAGCTCGTTAATCAGATGTGACGACAAAACTGAGACTGATTCCTGCAACTAAACTGGACAATTTGACTTTTTAATCCTTCATTTCAGAAGGAAAATAATCAAATCTAGAGCTGAAGCAATTAGCTGATAAACACAAAGCATGACAAGCTCCAATTTGATTATAGTTTACCCGTTTTAGTCATTTCACACAAAAACAGTGAAAAAATACCAACCAGCTGCATCTCACAGTAAGATATGTTGCATTTTTTTGTTGCCATAAATGAGTGTAAACTGAATATTTTCAGTTTTAGACTCTGAAGACATCAGCTCAGCAACATTGATGTTTAACGGACTAAATCTGATCAAATCCAGCGCTTGTTACCCATGACATCACCATCTCAAATCCAAACTATACACAAGACTGAATACGTAGCGTGTTCACTCTGAAAAGTGATGAACCGTTGTGGAGAAACATCTCCAGAAGTATAAAGAATGTAATGTATGGATGTCTGAGGCTGCTCAGATTGTGCCTCTTTCTGCTACTAACAATCGATTAATAATCAGGATGCTGCATAGATTTTCAGCAGTCCAACAGTCTTAGATTTGTATCTGCCACATTAAAGCTGGGTTGCTTTCATGGTGTTGTTATGGCTGCCGGCCCTTCCTCGTTTGTGTTTTATCTTTCATGTAATTGGCAGTGTGCTGTCGCCAGATGGGCAGAGACAAGTCTCAAGACAAATCTCTCCAGAGCCAATAGGACATCTATTTAATTTGGAGCAGCCCAGTTGTCAGGGCGGCTGTAGTCAGTGCACCAGTTTTGTTATTCTGTTGAAGATGGTTTTATTGGTTTCATCAGCTGTACACTATTTCCATGAGATCTTTTGTCTTGTATGTTGAGTTAACCAAGCACCCTTATGCCCTGTTTTCCCTCTGTTTTCAGTTTTGTTGGTTTTTGTTAAACTCTGTTAATAAATTATTGTTACTTTTAAACTAATTACATCTGGTTTTGTTGCTTCCCTTTTCCCTTCAATGAGCTGGGTTGTAACGGCTGTGAACGAAATACTGATCAGTTCACCAACAAGGCAATGATTGGTGGTTTTCTGAGCAAGTATGTGACGAACAGAAGCAACAAATACACCAAGAATGAAATGAATGTAGTTCAAAATTTAAGCTATAGGCTTTCATCCAATAATTCCTCCCCATTCAAACAGTCTCCTGCACAATAAGGTAAGGTCAGCTCATGTTATCCTGACATTGTCTATGCACAACAAGGCTGTTGCTTCTTGAATCCTGGACATCAAACGAACAATTTCAGTCTTTTAAAGGACAAGAGCTTGAAGTCACAACCTTTTTGACTACACAGTACATAACAAAGCAATAATAAACATCACAGGACACAAAGTTGGACTCTCTGCACTGACCTGGTGGGCATGAGGTGGTTGTAGTTGAACACCTTGACGAAGGCCTTGATCTTGGACCTCTTGGCGATCTTCTTCTTGCCCATGGTTGTGGTCACCTTACGGGGATAGCGGTCGATGCCTGCGACCAGAGCATGGCTGTATGGACGGTCAGTGGTTCCATCATCAATGTTCTGCAGAGAGACAAGACGATTGTGATATCAGGTAAAAGAAGAGTCTGTTTCAAACCAGATGACGGAGGGTCTGAGTGAAGCTCATGAAAATCAGGACAATCACACAACATAGGCCACATGAATATAAAAAACACCGACAACAGCTCAAACCCTGGACCAGATGTATGCAGTGAGGCCATTAATCGATCAGACTAAACATGCTTTTTACTGACGAAGCTCAAGCACAGTGAAAGTACTGAATCCTGAGCTATTTCTGTGCGTTTCTGTCTGTTCAACAATGTGATCATCTGTCTGCACAGGCTAGTGTGGGCCTATTGTTGTATGAACACAACTGTCAACATTGTTCTGTGCATACAGACAGCAATTAAGAATTGGCCCTTATTTACCAATAATACCTTATATATCCTACATTTCAACCATTTGTGCTTAGCTGCAATGCAGTTTGAAATTGAATAACTGTTGAGCTAAAATTCCAGCAGTTCTGGAGTCATGACATCTAAATGAAACCAAGAGTTTATGATTGTTTTGGTGTCACATCATGTACAGAAGTCCTGACATTAACTTAATTTTAAGCACATCAACTCTACACATCTAAACATATCCAGTGAGTTATTCTGTGTCTTTCACAGACATATCATAGTCCATGTAGCAGCAGCAGCAACCATCCACCAGATGCAGGCTTTACCTTGACGATGACTGCTTTGCGTCCGGCGTAGCGTCCAGCTAGCACCATCACCACCTTCCCAGGCTTCATAAACTTGCCCATTTCTGCCACAAAGAAAAACCTCGGTTTAACGACTTGTCGGAGCAGCAAATAACAACACTACAGACGTAAATATAGTCCAGTTAAACAGCGAAATCTGGGGACGTGTTTCAAGATTTAGCCTCGTTGTCTCTGCCTGTGTAGTGGCTAAGTTAGCATCAGGCTAGCATGAACTTACAACTGGCGAGTGGCTTTAAGAGCAATTTCAGGATATAAATGTCACTGTTCAAACTATATAATCGCTGGTTAAGATACAATAGGACTGATGTAGCACAACAGGAAGCCTGAACATATCAAATAATAGGCTTTAACAGTCGGTGGAAGGAAGCTGCCATGTTGGAATGGGCTCAGAGGCGACGAAGCGCCGCAGAAATTTGACAATTTTCTTCATTAATCCAATAAAAACTGTGAAAATAACAAATAGGTCTGAACTAACGGAGTCTCTGCAGCAGCCGTGCATCGACAAAAAACTCTAAAATAAGTCAGATCATCAGGGATGGAGAACGATTTTTTGAGATGAAACTCACTTACTGGCGCTGACTGCGATTCCGCTAACAGAAAGGAAGTACGTAACGTTCGGGGCCCCTTTGACCCACACGTCTTCTTCTATTGAGTAACCACTCCAGCATTTATGTGCATTACCGCCACCTACCGGACTGGGGCGGAGAGCGAGATTGGACCAGTATACTATGTTTTATAGAATTCAAATGGACCTAATGATAATATTATTGTCAAATCCTGTCAAAACAATATTCTCTTTTAAAAAAAAATAATCTGGCTAGTTTACATATAATGGTTAACATCTTACAATATTACAAATAATATTGGAAATTAAGTTTAATTTAGATTCTATAATGTAATATATAATACAAACTGGTCTGACTGATTTAAATATTAATGTAAAGACTCCACAATGTTATACATACCGTAAACATACCTGAATAATTTTAATACTAGCGTTAAGATTCTACAATAGTAAACATAAAATTAACGTTGATTATTTTAAATATTAGGATGAATATTATATAATACGTTATATACAATATTATACAGACAAAGCAATGTCTTACTTTGAAATTAATATTTGATTAACTCATGTCAATAATATGGATGTTTCCTGATCTCTCCCATCTCCTGACTTGGTAATAATTTAACATGTACATTAAGCTTATTAATACTAGAAGATGCACATTTCATTTTTAACACTTCAGGAGTATTTTAAAGGGAGCAGAGTAAGACAACGATGCCTTTTGAACTCTTGTTTAGCGTAATTTAATGTTCCTGTGTATTTAATGTTATGTTAATGTTATAACAATGGTCTAATTCAGGATGTTCTGTGTCAGATGTGTCCCAATAAAGTTTTAAAAAAGAGGAGAAAGTAAAAAGTTGTCCTTTGTCTCTCCGTTTCTTAGACTTCATGAGCCTTTTTCTAACTACATTCTGAAAAACGAAAGACATGAGCACTCGAACGCAGCACAGTGGTTCATTTATTACATTTAATTTGTTTACAGTTGCAGATATGCATTAAATATGATAAAAAAACCAAAACAAACACAATTCATATCTCCCAAATATATTATCTGTGATTACAGTGATTAAATAAAACTGAACATAAATAGAACAATTCAAATGATCCAGTGTTTCTGTTGTTCCCAGACTGAAGTGCTACAGTTACACTACAGCAGCTACGTTAAGTAGTGTTTGTACATACTTCACTGTTGAGCTACGCTATCCAATAAATAAATAAACATGTCTTTACATGAATCACAACACAACAGCTGAACAAAACACAACTAAAAAAAAAATGGGAAAAGAATAAGGAAAATATTATGTGGAATAAATTTGACCGATACTAAACATAAAATAAGGTGCACTCATGTCACAAAGTGCACTAGTACAGAATCAGGATTACATCTCAGGAAATACCAACAAAATAAACCAACGGTAGATATAAACGAACCTCAGTTTAATAGCATCTACGGTTTATACATTCAGTTATTAAGGATATGATACGTGCAGCTCAGCCTCAGGAAGATAAGAAAAAAAAAATCAGCTGAAATAAAACTAAACATCCTACAATCCTGTTAAATACGGGACATAATTTTTTATCAGATAAGATCGCCGTCAGTGGATTGAACTACACCTGGAAGATGAGAAAAGCAGCAGTTCATACAGGGTCAGTTTACACACCTGAAACACCGAAATAGAGTCAAGACAGAAGCCTCATTTGCCACAGGTGGTAGCTGCATATTTGTAGGCGACGTTACACAACACAACTGTGAGATACTTTTCTTTTCGACTTGACCTGAGTGCTGCTGTTTCGCTTCACGATCAACAAATTTGCTACACATGATTTACCAGCTGAATAATTCATTCTGCGACAGAAGCCACTGCACTTTTCACTACGAACAAGCACCAGTGCAAACTCTGGGTTTACTGTGCAGGAGCCACAGTAGAAGTAAAAGGTTCTGTTCGTTCGTTTTCTTCTTGGATTGTCTGACTGGAAACCACGTTACAGTACTGATTACTGTACGACTTCTTCCCACTGTGTTTGCTGCATAGGTCAGAGCGCCAGCAGGGGAATGAGACTGTGAGATGAGCACAGGTCAGGAAGGCTTTACTAAAGGTGAGGTAAACTCGAACTCCACTCTAAGGCATGTTTGCAGTACAAGTAGCGCTGTCTTCCTGATGTTTTGGCATTTTCAACATAGACAGATATGCAGATGAACACAACATAATCATCCATGCATGTACTGTAGACGTCACATACTTGCACTTCACTTTAGACGGGTGGCTGCTTGAATAACCTTGAAAAGGCTACATACTTGAAGCACACAGTCATGCTTTTGGTCCTGAATGCTAGTTTAGCTGATAAAATACTTCAATTCTGAGTTTTTCTCAGAAAGCGTCCTTGATGTTCTTGAGCTGCCGAACAGCCAGGTCCACTGGGAGGTTGAATCTGAGGTGGCTGATGCGGCCCAGGATGCGCAGGGCTCCTTCGAAGCCGGTCTGGGCCATGTAGCTCCAGGAATGGTAGTGCGGGTGGATCAGGGTGCCGGACTTGCAGATCAGGTTGAGCCACGACACCAGCCGCTGCTCGTTCAGAGCCATGCACACCAGGGCTTTGAACTCGGTGTCCGGGCCTCGCTTGAAGCGTCCGTGCTCCTTCAGCACAGTGTGAATGGCCCACAGGAGAGACTGCTTTGGGGTGACGGTGACTGGGCCGCCGCCCACAGGCAGGCTGAACGACTGAGACAGCTGGCGGGCCGGAGACTCCACGAAGGCCTTCCCGTTTTTGGACTGGTAGTACTTTACAAACAGTTCCCATGGGTGCATGGTCTGTGGGGCCGATCTGTAAGGCAGGAGGCAGGAGATGGGCGCCAGCACCAGGCTCATGGTCTGTGACGGTGAAAAGAGGCCGTGAGCCAACAAGTCTTTCAGAGCGATCGCCAGCTCCTTCCTCACGGACGTCGTCAGCTCGTCTCGGGCTCCCAGAGTGGAGCTGCTGGTGTAGCTGACCACGTGTTCGACGGAGGGATGTCTGCGCGAGCCCAACACCCGAACCTTCTCCACGGCCGTCTCCAGGCGCTGCAGCAGAGGCCCGTAGTCCTGCCCGGCCGACTCCTGAGGCCACATGCTCTGGGGGATGTGACCGGCTCCGCAGCCAAACTGGCTCGCAGCGAAGATCTGCAGCACGGCGAGGGCCCTCTGGATCAGCTGCAGGCCGGTCTCTCGCATCTTCTGGGCCTGCTCCGGGTCCACTGCAGGGAGAGCAGGAGAACCAGGAGAATTTACTTTAACTAAAACGCAGGAAGTAGGACCTTTCCATAGCAGTTTTTAAAAGACAGGAAAATTCCATTCAGATGTGATGGTATATGTTATAAGTCATTCCATCTAAAGTCATCAAATATTTAGAACAATTTCTGCTCGACCATCTGATTAACTTTAAATTTTTATAGCATAAAAAAATGGATTTTATAAAGATATTTGTAAAATGAATGCTTGACACATCAAATACTTTTATATGTATTTTTGTAACCAAGTATTTCATATTAAAAAGTATTCTAAATGTTTTGTTCAGTATTAAAGGTTATTAAGGTTCGAGTCTTTAGTGAAACACTGCAAAATACTCTAAAAGGCAAAACATTGTATTCTGGCAGGGAAGCGTGGCTAAAAAAATGATTTACTAATTGCAGAAACATTTGGTAGTTTAACCACAACAAACATTTGATGTAAAATGACTGACCTTTCTTCTTCACTCCTGGAGCGCTGGTGTTCATCCCTGCTGCTTGTGGCTGCTGGCTGTTTGCACCATCTGACAGGAGAGGGTTCCCCACCTCATCTTTTGGAAGAAAATGCAAAGTTACCGAATACAGGCAGGGAGGCATTGCAATGAAAAATGACCAGAACTCAGAGGAAGCTCAGAGGCCTGCGTACCCTGGATGAAGTTGATAAACATCTCCAGGTCCCTGATCTGGGTCTTGAGCTGATCCACCAGCTGCTCCTTGACTCTGGCTGGGTTCACGATCTGAGCGATGGCGGCGTCCACTCTCTGCCTCAGCTCCTCGGGCGACAAGTTCCCAATGTCCTCGTTCAGGTTCACATCCAGCTTTTCAATCAACTCATCAATGATGACCTGGAAAACATAAGACTGAAGGTTAAAGGTGTTATCACTGTTTCCCAAAAGTTTAGAATTCATTTGCAGTGCCTTGAAGTTGTAAATTTGATTTTAAACTTGCAGTAGCTGATGTGTTTGTCCACTTGAGGGCAGCAGAAACAAGTTGTGACACACCTTTACCTTTTAAAATGACAAGCTTGCTGGCAGTTGCTTATTCACACTTTCAACAGACGGAGAAACATTAACATTCATTTGGAGTCATGTTTCAGTTCACAAGTCCAATGAAATGCTGCTACTACAAGAATTGTAGTGATGCATCCTCTCAAAACAATACATCAAGTTTGTCCATAATCAAAATGTGATTTATTACACACACTGATTCAACCTGCACATGTTGTGGAGCAGAGTTTAAAAAAAAACTGTGTGTCTCCTCAGAAATCAGTAACACCAGGAGCTGGGTAACCTTGGCTTTCCTGATTATAACCTTCAGTTATGCAAACAAGGAAGTTCCACTTGGTGCTTGGAAGAATAAATAAAAAGCAGTGCTACTGTAGACGCATAAGACCTTTTACAGCTTTGGGGCCACAAGCTCCTTATTAGGGGAGGTTGGTAATGTTGTTCAGCTAATCTACACTTCCTAAACAAAACCAGTAATAACAGAAAAATAAACAGCTATATACATATATACTTAAGCCTGAAGCATTTCGGCATTTTTGTTTGACTTGTTTGACTGTTATGAAACAGGTAAACATCACATTGTGTGCTTAACATAACACACAGGCCACTGGGGACACTTCAAGTGTGACGGAAACTGTTTGTAAAGAGCATAAAAGAAGGTGGATCAGAAAACCTGTAGCTTATTCTGGCACTATGCATCAATATGTGAGAGGATTTTTGCATTTCCACAGTCCCACCTTCTGTCTCTCCATGACGATGGACTGCGGCACCGAGTCGTAGCTGCCCTCCTGATAGGCGAAGCGCTCCAGATCATCCAGCTGTGTCTTCAGCTGGAAAATGAGATCCTTTTGTTTCTCCCTCTGAGCCTCCAGACGCTCCCTCTTCTCCCTCTCAGTCTGACCGGAGAAACACACACAACAGTTTTAATTACAACAGAGAAGAACTGCTGAGCGACCACATTAGGTCCTGACCTGTGGGAGCTTTGCAAACATTAATATCAATATTTAAAGAGGTAAATCTACAGCTTGTTGCAGTTGAGATGCATTAAAGACGGTTGAACAAACACGGAAAGTAAGGTTAGGATTTCTGCTGGTCTGGGAAAGAAAAATGAAAAGAATAATTGTAGAAATGTAATCTGGAAATACAGCATTGTTTCTTTGTAAACCTTTTGGTGACTCCTCAGACGAAACTAGAATGCAAAAGTATTCATACTCAGATTTTCATAAGATCTTAAAATGAGATCAGATGTTCAAAGATATGACGAGAAACACATTTAGAAACATGTACGCATTAGTTTTGTGCAGGTTATCATATAAAATGCACAAACCAGACTCTCAGAGACGTCATCATACTCACCAGGTCCTCCTGCATGTAAAGCATGTGACAAAGGAGAAAGAAAGCCCTTTAGGTAGAATGAATGATGAGTAGTATTGTCACATTGAATGCAGCTAATGAGGCCACAGACAAAACGCAAAACGAGGCAGGGAGTAAACAGCAGCAGGTTGCTTCAACATCACTGTGTACACAGAAGCCTTCATTAAACAGATAGTGATCTGCTGCAGGCATTTCCATTGAGCCTGTACGTCTGTGAGTCACACACTTGTGGCAGAAAGAAGCATTTTCCAGCAGAGATAAGCGATCTGTAGGAACAAAACCCAGGTGGGCGCAGCAGCCCGCCGTGACGCAGTGTGCACACATTAGTCAGGTTTAATCAGGGAGCTCGCAGCCGCTGAATCATTTCTGTTCATGTGAGCAGGTTTACCACCACAGAGACTCACTGCCTTTGGATCTGTGCAGGTTTATGTGAGAGTGAAGTGTCCACGTGTGAATTTGTGCAGATATGAGAGTTAAATATCTCCATGAGGATTGTTAAGTAAATGCTGACAGGGGCTTCAGCCAACCAGTTTCTTCCTGTTGACTGAGCTGATAATTATTTCCTCAATTTATCAACCACGACTGGGACTGGATAGTAAATACTTTGGATGCATTATTTCTCTCATATTTTCTATTTTTAACAAAATAAAATAAATAAATCGTCAAAGTGTGCAAACCCTCGAGCGTGATGTTTTTTTTAATACAACATCCATCCATCCATCCATTATCTATACACCACTTAATCCTCACTAGGGTCACGGGGGGGCTGGAGCCTATCCCAGCTGACTCAGGGTGAAGGCAGGTTCACCTGGACAGGTCACCAGTCTATCACAGGGCTACACTTAGAGACAGACAACCAAGCACACTCACATTCACACCTACGGACAATTTAGAATCACCAATTAACCTCAACATGTTTTTGGACTTGTGGGAGGAAGCCGAAGAACCCAGAGAGAACCCACGCTGCACGGGGAGAACATGCAAACTCCACACAGAAAGGTCCCGGGTGTTCTCATCGGGATGCGAACCGGCGACCGTCTAGCTGTGTGACAACGGTGCTAACCAGTGAGCCACCTTGCAGCCCCCTTAATTCAACATTATATCACTTATGACTTATTATTGCTCAAGTGTGAAGTCACTTTACCTGCAAATGACTTGTCTAAAACACATAAACAAGTAATTAACTGTCAGTACAACAGTTGAAAAATACTCTCTTACAAGCAAGAGTTATGTATACTTAGGTAAAGTACAACCGTGTTAGCATCAAAATATAAAATATAATGCTTGTATATTTCTAAATAATGTACACTATCAGATTATAACTGAGTTTGAATGTTCAAGCTGGTAAAGGTGATTTGCGGGGTAGTTTTGGAATCTCCTCTTGGGGATCAATAAAGTATTGCATTCATTTATGATGTTATGTAATAATTGATTTCCTGATTATATTTGTATGATAAAACAAAATCTGTAAAACAACTAAAGTGATGTGAAGTAAAAATTGCAATATTTGCCTTTGAAATGCAGTGCAGTGGAAGTATAAAGTAGCAGTAAATGGAAACGCTCAGCTAAAGTGCCAGAACTTCAAATTGTACTGAACCCTATTCAGGACTTTCATGTTGACATTCGTAGAAGGTCTGTCAGGGTCCACTAGACCCCAAGAAAGAATATGTCCAAAATATTTGTTGGTATTCATTATAGATCGTTACACTATGTTAAATACATTTTCTGTCATTTTTGTAGGGTTTTAATCGCTGACATATCAATACATCATAAATAACACTGGAGGGAAAGCACTTTAGCTCAGCAGCTGTAGCCTTAAACATGATGTATAACCATAGACTGTATGTGTATAACACCGACATGAATGGTTGGACTAATATTTGTAATATTAAGGACCATCAAGACAGTTGAGTTTACATCAGGAGTATTTCAAACATATGTTCATGACACCAGGGTTCTTTGTGTTGACATTGAAGCTCAGATGCGGTTAAACTTTGCGCTCTAACAGCAGGATCTCACCGAGTTCTCCAGCTGCTTGGCGTCCTGAGCCCTGCAGCCCACCACATGCGGGCAGCCCCTGAAGGCGAACTCCTCCAGCTCGGCCAGCATCCTCTCCTTCTCCTCGCTCTGGGCGTGAACGATCTGCTTCAGTCGGAACTGAACCTGAGCGAAGTGCGAGGTGAGGGCGAGCAGAGAGGAGTTCAACAAGTCCTGCTCCTCCTCCAGCTTCCTCATCCTGGCGGCCATTTCCTCCTCGGAGGCCGGGGACGAGGCTCTCTGCCGGGGCTGGCCACCGCTCCCACTCCCGCTCTCATCCTCCGGGCTGGCCACAGCGCCCACCGGTGCCCACCGCTCCCCTGCGCCGGCCAACACAGTCTCGCTGTCGGAGGCTGACAGCTCCTCTGTGGACATTGTGGACTACGGAGTTTCCTCCAGCTGCTTATTGAGCGTTTATTCTGGTTTATTCTCGGTCGTTGCGCAGATAAACAGCCAGGATCACCGCCGGAGGAGCAGGTGCAGCGCCATCTTGGGAAGGATGATTCATGCGTCAATACGTCAGCACGTAGTGACGCCTGTCTCCAAAATAAAAGCTTTAATTGAAGGAGCTGGGAGAGGTGGTGGATTTCCAGTCATCCTCAAATTTATTCACACCCTCCCATTAAAGACGGAAAAAACAGCTGTCACTGAAATAAGCTGAAATTGACAAAAGCAATAATAAATAATTTTTTTTATGAAAATCATGACATTGCTTTTGAATTGTGGTTCAACAGAAATATTTAAATACAAACAAACAAACAAACAAACAAACAAAACCCAAGCAAACAAGCATGATGGCACCTGTAAACTAATATTTTGTTGAACAACCCTTTGAGCCAATCACTGCAATCAGGTGTTTTCTGTAGCTCTCAATCAGACTTCTGCACCTGTTGACAGGTATTTGGATTTTGTTCCACTGCTCATCAGCAAAGTGCTCCAATTTGTCCGGGACAGTTTTGTTGTTTTATATTATTTTTTTCAACCACAATTCAAAAGCAATGTCATATTTCACTAAATTATAATTTTGCAAAGTTTTATTTATCATTACTTTTTTCAGTTTCTAGTTATTTGAGTGACTATTGGGAATTTTTCCTTTTCTGTATTGGAACGGTATGAATACATTTGAGAATGACTGTATTCATTCAGGTTAAAGTAGCATCCACTGTTGAAAAGCACTCTTTCATATGGGCAGAAACATGTGCTACTATAAACTGAATTTTATTACGAATGCATTTGAATTGATTAATTTAAAAAAAAAAAAAGTAAATTCTATTGTGCAATTTTTAGATATATTTAAAAAACCTGACTTTGAATCACAACATTTGAAGCTGTATTGTTTAACCTGAATTACTGTATTTAAAAAAAAAATTGAATTGCAGATGTGAATTTGTATTGATTAGCTTAAATAACTGCAATAAAAATAACTGTAATTTGTATAGATTCTGATTTTGTGATGGTACAGCTTTATAATGTCATCACTAATGTAACTTCCTAACTTACGTGTCCCTGTGCTGTTCTAAATTGGCTGCCGTGGACCAGTCTGGGATGTTGTTTTTCATTTTATGTTAAAGTGAAAGGTAAAAAAATATATATTTTTAAAAATGTGTAATTGTAAGTTTCTATTTTCAGGTCTACAGCACTTTTTACTGCTCATAAATCACCACACATAATATACTGAAGTCCCTATAAAAAGCCTGGAAACAAAATAAATAACTAAAAATAATAAATAATGATTATTATTATAAGCACCGCCTTTGGCAACAGGTGTTTTCTTTACACTTTTCTGGAGATGTTTTTTTTCATCCTACATACAATTTGATGTGACAAAGGGATAGACACATTTAAAATCATAAAAAAGAACAAAAAAGCATCTATCTACAATCTATTAAAGGCTAGCATGCATAAGTATATATGAATTCTATATGTAATGGTGTTTCTTCTGACATAAATCTCACTGATAAACTACAATGAATGATGTGACAAGTTTTATTGTTGTCATTTGTTTAATGGTTTCATGGACAATGTAGAGACATCTCGGACTCCTCGAGAGTGAAGCCGCACCAAGCACAATTTTTTTCAAAATCTCAAATTAATACACAATAGCAACAAATGCACAAACAAAATATCGAGAAAGATGATAAATGAGCAATTATCCATTAAGGTACGCCACAATAAGATTTTAAACAAGGCAGATAAAACAAGCATTGTGGTTTCTTGAATGTAACAGTTTAATAACAGACTCAACCTCTTCATTTAACATCACATATTTGGTTACGCCCCAAACTGATTATGGATAAATTAGTGCACTTTTCAAAATAAGGCAGCAGCAGAGGAGCAAACAGTAACAGTGAATAAAATCACATTGCCTGTGGAGTGTTTCAGTTGTATTCTTTGTTAATGCAGTAGAGTTGTGTGCGCTTTAAATAACAAGATTCTGTGCTGTTTGTTTGAATCCACATTTAGAAACTTGCCACTTCAAGACCACAGAACATCGTCACACCTGCAGTGCAGCATCATTCTCAGTGTCTCCGTCACTGTTTACTGTTCAGCTCCTCTGAGAGCAAAGCATTTAGAAATCACCATTAAAATCCCTTTATGTTTTTTTTTTTCCATTAGTTTGCTGCAGACAGAAACAAATGACAGTATAGACGGGGATGTTTTCACAAAATTAGAGATCTCTTTTTGTTGGCGAGGAACACGTGCCAGTTGGGCCAGTACAGCCTGGGGTCCTGGGTGCAGGCGCCAGCGTCGGTGCAGGTGTAGCCGCTGGGACAGCAGTGTATCATGTCGCTGCAGCAAACCGCCTGCAGGGAGGACACAGTTAGTTAACACCTTCACACTCATCTATTTTCAAT